AAGACGGTGGTCTTGAATTAAAGCTTTCATGACTGCAGAAATTCCTTTTCTTTGGGTCTTTCGGTAAAGTCACGTAGATAGGTTGACAGAAAATAACAAAAAACTACGACGTTTCGATCGCAACACAAGCGGTCGTTGTGTTGCGATCGAAACGTCAGAGTTTGTTATTTTTTTGTTATTTCCTTTGAACCATCTACGCGACTTTACCGAAAGACACAAAGAATAGAACGGTGGTCAAATTTCGATTGAAAGCTTTCGTGACTGCAGGGATTCATCTTCTTGGTTCTTTCGGTAAAGTCACGTAGAAGGGAAGTAATAAAATAATAAAAATAAAACATAATAAAATACAATTCTCACGACGTTTCGGCCACAACGCAAGCAGCCGTCCTCAGGCGAAGAACAGGTCTGTCGGAAAGACAGACCTGTTCCGACAGACCTGTTCTTCACCTGAGGACGGCTGCTTGCGTTGTGGCCGAAACGTCGTGAGAATTGTATTTTATTATGTTAGATTTTTATTATTTTATTATTTCCCTTCTACACGACTTTACAGAAAAACATCTCACGAAACGGACCTTGAAGAGGCCGCATGTGGCGACGGAGCCGCAGGTTGTCTAGGGGTTGGCAAAACGTCCCCGTGCTGCTGCTGCTGCTGCTGTTCCTCAGTGCCGGTTGGGTGCAGGGTGGCACGAGCACGATTGGTTTGGATGTCACTCACCACTGATGTGCGCTGTGGCTTGCTGGGTTGCCATTGTGCATACTGTCGTCCTGGTTGTTGATGATGTATTATTATTATTGATTATGTTTATAATCAATTATTTGGCTGCTATACATTGCCAACATTATTTGCAACTTCGTTGAGCTATCATTTGTGGCCAGGTCGCTTCTGTAAAATAACAAATCGCTCAGGGGGCTTTGCCTGGTGAAATAAAACATAGTTTACAGTTTTAGTTTAATCAATAATGTTTAGTGATAGGCTTACTTTTCCTATACTTTGCAGTCCTGTCGTTTTTGTATTCGCTGTTGCTGTAACTTTCTGACCTGCCCCGACTGAACATTTGTTTTAAAAAGCGCTTAATAGCTCATCTGATTTATCCAGGATAAATAAAGATTCTCATTCTGATGTAATATTTCACTGAATTTGTTTTACGCATCATTCCCCTGCAAAACCCGCCCATCCCCATAACAACAAGCTCAGCCGTGTTGGCCAGGACGCCAATCGGCCTTACCCGAAATAAATCCGCTGAAAAGCGTTGCCACTCATGGATGCAATCGGGTCCACAGCCCATTGCAGGACCCTCCTGCAAAAGTATTGGGACTCATTGAGGCGTTCCTCGGGTCAACCACGTGCCCTTGGTAGTTTGTCGTGGCCATGTCATAGGGCACGCTGCGGTGTGAGTCAGCATGCCGATGAATATCAAATCAGATGAGTACCTTTTTTCTCCCCACCCCGAGCCGTCAATGCACACATTTGCATCTCCATCACGAGCTTGATACCCAATTATTCAATCGAATGTCTGAGGAGACAGCGATTGTGTGAAAATGCACCTGCCATCCGATACCGACGTTGTGGACAATGACTCGTTATTAACGTGCCTTTGTCTATAGGGGGGCAAGAAGGGGAGTTTGTTACACACTTGCCACACTCGCGTGTGCTGTATTATCATGGTAGTCATAACAAAGATGTTTAATTGGCAGCGGGCATGTTACATGAAATGTATAGTATAGAATTTAGAGCACAGAGCGGTGTGTGTGTGTATATACTATGTTTAGCGGTAGTGTCGCGGTGAGCTACGAACCTGGTGACCCGAGTTTGATTATTCGTGCTCATGGCCAACACCAATAATCTGTCTTTTTTATTATTACAAAAGTAACGTTATACTAGACTTTCAGTCCTCGTTCAATGCACGACTAGTTGAAGGCCTATCCCAACGCCTTTTGGTCATGGGGGTTGCTTGACCATAATTCACCACGCTGGTGAGTGCAGGTGTTGGTAAGAGGTTTGGGGGAGGAAGGGAGAAGGGGTGGCTGAACCGGATCCAATAGAAATCGCCACTGATGATTTGAGCGCCATGAACCGGGCAGATAGCTAGAGCGCTAACCATTGCCCCACCGCTCCACCCGATCACTGTCATACACAGTGCACACCATTGGCTTTTACAGCGGCTTACAAGGGTTTAAATGAAAACATGCCATCCATCAGGAGTGGTTAGACCGGCTGTCTCGTTAATTTTAATGGGAATGACATTTTGACTTTTGAGGCTTGAAACGTGGAAGCGTCAAATCTCCAACACCGCCTCCACGGTGCAGGAGTGGCTTCGCGTGAACTTGCTGCGGTGGTTCACGCGCGTGGGTTGATTTTCCTTTTATTTCACCAAAAAGTGACAATCTGTTGAGATTCTTTAGACCGCGTTACCGAACAGCAGCGGATGCTTACTTGTTTATGTACGTGGAGAGTTGTGTTTATCTGAGGTTTGATTGATTTAAAATCTCAGGTTTGTGCTATGAATTTCGTAAAACATATGACAATAACACGGATTAATGATCAATTAAAACACTCGCACATGCTTTGCCCATTTCATCGCATGAAGCCGATGTGTGCTCACACACAAATACACACATCCCCCGTGTATCCATAACAAACTTTTCGGGAAAGTGCTGTTAGCGAGCATATGTGAAGACCGGCACGGCGCACGAGGGGGTGAGTGGCCAGCACCACGCTCGGCCGCCTTTGTCTCCCTAGTGGCGATGTTTACACACCGCATCAGATACTCATTTGAGGCTGAGTCGACCTAGTGGAAGCCCAGGACCGGTTAAGATAATTATCGTCACTGGTGTTAGCTGTGACCAGCAATCAAGTGTGCTAACCGCTGCACTACCCCCCCCCCCCCGACTTAGAGAGGCATTTTAAATTCAAGGAAAACCAGTGTGATGAAGTTGGTGGTCAAATAAGCCCCAACGACTCACACGGCACGGGGAGGGAGGCCTTCATCCAGCAGTGGACTGACACGATAGCTGTACGCGTACACGTGGTCTATAGACATGATTCAGATTCAGGTAGACACCACATCCACAAGAAGCTGTCCGCCTGATAGCATTTGAGAATATTCCCAAAACCGAACCCCATATCCAACCCAGCCTCTTGTGGACAGCCATCTCAATCACCGAGACGTCAGCTCGGCACACGAATTGGCTTTATTTTTCTCATGATCGTCCAGAGCATAGACATTGCTTAAATCTGTTCCAATATGCACAAAGACAAAGATCCCCCCTATAGCCATAGCAGAATGTTGGGGAAAGTGTTTCCCCTGTGCTGATGTTTACACACCAGGTACAGGTACTCATTTAAGGCTGAGTCGACCGAGGAGATCATCAGGACAGAATCAGATTTCAAAGAGACACATACACAGACACTTTATACAAGTAAACACACGTCAATACATACACACACATACACCCAAACACAGGGACAGTCATAGAATAAGACACAAACATGAACGGGACTCTCTTGAAAAAGAGTCGGAATACTCAGTGAAGCTTTCTCTTTTAAATAAAATACTGTTATAATAAGTACACAGAGAACACACACACTACAGTGCACAGGCAAGACAAATACAACATGACCCCTGCAGACGTAGACTATTTGGGGAAAGTTCTGTCAGTGAGCACCTATGCAGGCCGGCACGGCACACGAGGGGGTGGGTGGCCAACACCACGCCCGGCCGCCTTTGTCTCCCTAGCGGCGATGTTTAAACATCGCACCAGGTACTCATTTGAGGCTGAGTCGACCAAGGGGAGGCCCAGAACCGGTTCAGATAATCGTCGCTGGTGTTGCCCGCGAGCGATAATCGAACCCGGGTCGCCAGGTTCGTATCGCAGCGCGCTAACCGCTACACCACCGCTCCCTTCTGAGTCGATCTACGGACACACAGAGGCATGCAATAAAAACCTGATCAAGGCTTGAGACTCTCTGAAGCTTCACTTGCTTAAATGCATCATTTCATCAAAATCATTATGATATCACAATATAATTCGGTACCCTAACCCAAAACAATAACCCGTTCAAACAAAACAACGACCTTCGAGGAAAATATATATATATATATGCCGCTGTGCAATGCTGTTGCTGTTTTATTTATATCGCGCTCCACAAGAAGAAGAAGATGACGAGGAGGAGGAGGAGGACGTCTCGGCACGCCGCTGCCACGCCACGTGGTCGCAGCGCAAGCAGCCTCGCAATCGGACGACCTCAACAATCTCTCTCCACGGTGTCACGAGGCATCACGGTGCAAAACTGTGATCACGTTAACAGTGCCTGCATTTACGCATTCATGTCATCATACGTTTAATGAGGGGGGGGGGCGGTGGTGGAGTGGTTAGTGCACTGCACTATTAACCCGGCTTATCTGAACGTCGATTCCGTGCCACGGCTAGAACCATCAGTGGCGCACGCTATCTGAACTGGACCCACTCGTCACCAGCAGGCGCTCACCGCGGTGGTGGTGGCGGTGGTGTGGCCAGACAGCCCACCGGCCCCCTGGCAACTCCGCCACCCCCCGAAGATTGCCCGCGCAAGCCGCTACCAAACCACGTAGGGTGCTTTCAAGGTATACAGGCACGTGTGGCACAGTCCCGTCGTCCTTGCGAGTCGAATTGCCACTGATACCCCCTTAAGGGGAACACGTACACGGGTGCGTGCGGTGATGCGCTCAAGTCGATATATTATCGGGTAAACACCTTGCGCGCTGTGTGTGTGGGAGTGTGTGAATACAAATTGACTCAGCCCCGAATGAGTACCTGGTGCGGTGTGTAGTAGACATCGCCACTAGGGAGACAAAGGCGGCCGGGCATGTGCTGCCCATCCACCCACCCCCTCGTGTTCCGCGCCCACCTGCACAGGTGCTACTCGTGAACAGAACTCGCCCCAACAGTCTGCCAAGGCTGTACACGTGGGGGGGGAGGGCGATCTTTCTCGACAAATATGCGAAGAGAACAAAGCCTACCTTGAGCATTCTGATTTCGCGCATCGCAATTTTCTTGATCACCGGGTCGTCTTCCGACTCGACGAACATCTTGACGGCCACGATCTTCCCGCTGTCCCGGCTCCGGCACTTGAACACCACCCCGTACGAGCCCTCGCCGATCTTGCGTAATTTCTCGTACTTGTCCGTCATCTCGCCTCTCCGCTGTTGCGAGGCTTATCGCGTCTGCCTGCCGACGGAGAGAGTCGAGAGAGGCGCGCACGGTGCCACGAGGCTGCGTCGCCTTTGACGCACGCCGAGCAAGGGATGGTCGCTGTCGTCTCGTCCAAGTGGCACGTCGCTGATGCGACACGCGGTGCTCGATGGTGGTCGTCCACCGCCGTGGCTGGCTGCCAAATGTGAGTTGACAGAGCAGCGCTGCTTTGAAGCGGACGCAGCGCGAGGGGCACGCACGCCACGAGTCGTGGGCTGCGACCGTTCAGGCTGGAGGCAGCCGAGCCGAGCGCTTCCCCTTCGCAGCCTTCAGCTGGAAGAGAAGCGAAGCGGGGGAGCTCCCGAACATCGGCTCGCCACAGCAACCACCCGAGTCACGCACCCGTCCTTACTTGTCGTTGTTGTCGCTAAATAACTTAGTTCATGGCAATGGCACCATTGATTCAGTCCTCGTTAAGACACAGCCTCTCGTCACGCCTCGTCTACGGGCAATGATGGAGCCACGTGCAATGATAAGCACAGCAGCGGTGAGGGCGTTCTGCTTAGCGGCTATGCCGAGACACGCGTGCGAGTGAGACACGTGCGAGAGAGAGAGAGCTGACAGTTTCGCGAGCCGGGAGTGTGACTGCAATGTCCCTCGTGGAGGTGACTTTGTTGGATTGCCGCACGCTGACAACGGGGCCCATTAGCGGGTCAAACGTGGCCCCTTTGTTCTGCTCAGTGAGCGGCTGACAAACTTCAAACGCCTCCCGTCCCGGTGACATATCTCCCCGAGCGAAGCCGCCCTCTCGTGGCCGTGCCACCAATGGTGAAGCGAGGTCCCCCCCCCCCAACACCACCCACCCCTGCGGGAGAGGGGTGGGGGGTGGAGAGTGGGGGGTGGTGAGTGGGGGGTGGTGAGTGGGGGGTGGTGGTGGGTGGTGGTGAGTGGGGGGTGGTGAGTGGGAGGTGGTGGTGGGTGGTGGTGGGGGGTGAGTGAGTGGGGGGTGGTGAGTGGGGGGTGGTGAGTGGGGGGTGGTGGTGAGTGGGGGGTGGTGAGTGGGGGGTGGTGGGGGGTGGTGAGTGGGGGGGGGTGGTGGGTGGACAATTACGGGGTGAACCTCGTGGAACCTCGTGGATTCTCACGCTCAGACATTTGGGTAAACGGTGAGACTCGTTCTTATATTCCCAAAGTAAAATGTGTTCACGTGCGTTTGTGCTGTCGTTGTTGTCCTTTTGCTTATGTTCGTCATTGTAGAAAGTAAAGACAGCTAAAAGCGCAGCCATGCAAGTGCTTGTCCTCAGTAATTGACGGTGGAAGGGCCTCAACTAAAGTGGTGGGGTGGGGCTTTAGAGAGCCGATCGAGAGTGAATGTGGCCTCCTCTTCCACGTTGGTCAGACGCACTGGAAGAGGTGGCAAGTACTGTACCCCCACCTTACCGATGAGCTGCACACTGCTCGGTGGCTGGAGGTGAGGGGGTTCAACAAAACGTGTCCATCCTTTCGACTGGCGGCTCGGGAGATCGAACCTGCTCCGCATTGCAAGCTCCTTTCGCTCGCCGTTACGCCGCAGCAGCAGCAGCAGTATCCCCAGGGCGTGATGTTTTTAGCTGCAGTGAGTTTCGAAAGTGCTGTCAATTCACTGCTAGACTACGTGGGGAGGACCTCAACATTTACAATAAGAGTACGACGTTTCGCCAGTATTCATCTTCTTGGTTCTTTCGGTAAAGTCACGTAGAAGGAAAATAATAAAATAATAAAAATAAAACATAATACAATAATTCTCACGACGTTTCGGCCACAACGCAAGCAGCCGTCTTTAGGTGTAATAAAAATAAAAACATAATAAAATAATTCTCACGACGTTTTGGCCACAACGCAAGCAGCCGTCTTTAGGTGTTCTCCACCTGAAGACGGCTGCTTGCGTTGTGGCCGAAACGTCGTGAGAATTATTTTATTATGTTTTATTTTTATTATTTTATTATTTTCCTTCTACGTGACTTTACCGAAAGAACCAAGAAGATGAATCCCTGCAGTCACGAAAGCTTTAAATCGAAAGTTTCGCCAGTAATTACAACTAGCTTCGTCATGCAATTACTTTGCTCTCCAACACACCGGTGTGCTGTACTAGTGACGAATTGGCATGTTCTGTTAACGTGACAAACTTTACTAATTGGCTGTGTCGGGTGGTGGCGGGTTTAACGACACACCATTTATATAGTCACGCGATCTGACCCAAAACAAATCTGTATTATGGATGACATTGGTCGCTTTAAACTGAGCATGTATTGAACTCGAGTCGTAGCGCAGTGCGCTAACCACTGCACTATCGCTTCCCGTTATATTGTACGTGTACGTGTATTATATTATATTCTACATGTACGTGTATATACACCGGTCTCTTTCACCGCGTACAAGGGAAACAACACTTTGGTCCATCAGCTTACGGAGCCTCTAGGATAAATGTTTGAAAGCATTTGAGCAGGACAACTGTATGCCGGTTTCGACTTGTTGAGTCTCATCAGCAAGGCTGTGGCCTGTTGAACGATGAATTGCCGATTTGATTGTCTGAACTAATCAGCATCGCCACGAACACCGTGGGGCTCAGCTCAGTGCAGCAACAGCACAGCAATCCGCAGTGTTCGATTAACAACAATCGTCGTCACCACCACCACCACCACCATCCACAATCATCCGTCAATAACAGTGGCCTTAGGAATAAATATACGTGACGTTTCGGGTGAGGGCCCTTCTTCACAGCACTTCAATGATGAAGGACCATTGCCCGAATGTGCTATGATGAACGGGCATTGCCCGAAACGCCACCTATTGTATGTTGTTTTCCCCATTCTAAGGCCACAGTGATATTTGACAAATGCGTTGTTGTTGTTTTCAGCTAAATCATTGGCGGCCGCCTGGAATCGAACCCAGGGACGCCAGCTCAGCGCTCTGACCTCTGGAGAAAACAAGGTCACCTAAAAACGACTGTTTATGTCTCGTTGCAAACGCGTTATGGCTACCTCACCCTTGCACGTGTGCGCGCATGGCAGCATGTGTGTGTGTCCCGGTGTTTGCGCACACACGCGCGTGCACGTGCGCGTGCGTGTGTTTTTGAACGCGTGCTTTGCATCGTAACAAAGGCGTGCGAACATCACGTGCCCACCGCCCTAAAAGCGCTCTGTACACAGACATTGTTCGATGCACGTTGAGCAGCTGGGATAAATATGAATACGCATGACAAAGCAGTACGGACAACAACACCCGCCGTTTTATTAGACAAAGTGAGACCGTTCGGCTATATCAAGGCGATGCACAATAGCTCAAGTCTGATTTTCCTGCAGTCGGGGGCAGACTTCAGTTTGCGACAACATCTGCGCAACAATTAATAAACCTGCATTCCATACGAACAGTTGCATTTGCATAACGCAAGCGTCGGAGAGAAACGGTTGGAACTGTTTGACGAAGGGAGGTGAGTTTGAGAGAGGGATGATGATGATGATGATCGCAGGCTCGGAGAGACGTGGCGCAATGTGCATCCACTGGTGGAGTCGACGATTGACCGTACCGTGAAGGGGAGGACGCTTTATCCATCGATCACAGCAGCGCCTTGCAGCATAGGAGTGGGTTGTGGCCACGAAACCACCCCGGCCACCCTTGCCTCCCCAAGGTTTATTGTAATTCTCACACTGCGCTAGACACTTCGATTTAAAGCTTTCGTGACTGCAGGGATTCATCTTCTTTGTTCTTTCGGTAAAGTCACGTAGAATGGAAATAATAAAAATAAAACATAATAAAATTATATACTCATATAAAATAAATTTATTATGTTTTATTTGTATTATTTTATTATTTCCATTCTACATGACTTTACCGAAAGAACCAAGAAGATGCGCTAAACACGTTGAAGGCGGAGTCGCCCCAAGGGAGACCCAGGACCGTTTCGGACATCAGTGATGTCTGCAGCTGTCCTGCTCTCGGTCGACTCGGCCTTGCATGCCGTGTAAATTGCCGGTTGCCAAAGATGCACAGCAGTCCATTGTGCAGCTGTGCCAGCCTGAATAGCTTCTCACTTTGGCCGTAAAGTCTGTGCAACTACGGTATACGGAGGCTACTTTGTGCACATCTATAGAGCACTTGCATATTAATTCAAGCGTCCGGGGGTTCCAAAACTCACCTCGGGCACTTGGTCATAATCGCTTACGAATGATCACAAGCAACATCAATACTATCCCATTGGCAGCGTTGGCTAGTGTGTGTCTGCACCACCATGGGTGAATGGCCGCAAGACATTAATTGCAATTCTTACATAAAATACTAGCTGTACTACCCGGCTTCGCCCGGGACTTGTATCCACCACGGCCGGCCGCCTTTGTCTCCCCAGTGGCGATGTTAATACGCCACAGCAGTTACTCGTTTGAGGCTGAGTCGACCTAGGGGAGGTTCAAATAATGGTCACCGGTGGTGGCCGTGAGCGGGAATTGAACTGGGTTCGCTGGGTTGGTAGCGCAGCGTAGCGTTAAGCACTACACCCACCGCTCCTCACACACCACACACGCACAGACACACACACAGACACACACACACAGACACACACACACAGACACAGGCAGCACGCTAAGCACTACACTACCGTTCCCCCTACACAACACACGCGCGCGCGTCCATAGCTACACATACACGCGCTTGCTGCAGACACACACGACTTTCAGGGTGCGTACGGCATTAAACAACTGAAATAATAAAGCGGCAATGCTGCGCAAGGAACGCCTTAGACCTGCAACACATTTGTGTAACGCGAGCGTAAACACACAAACACATACAAACACATACACAATACACACACACATACATGCAGACACACAGACAGACACATAACACACATACATACACACACATACATACACAGAAACACATACACATACATAGACACACACATACATACACACAAACACATGCACACACGTACATACACACATACATACAGACACGCAGACATACACATAAAGACATACAAAAAAACCCACATACATACACACACACATACACACAAACACATACACACACATACATACACACATACATACAGACACACAGACATACACATAAACACATACACACATAGACATGACCCGGCTTCGCCCGGGACTTGGATCCACGATGCCCGGCCGCCTTTGTCTCCCCAGTGACGATGTTCACACACGACAGCAGTTACGCGTTTGAGGCTGAGTCGACTTAGGGGAGGCCCAGGTCCGTTTCAAATAATCGTCAGCGGTGGTGGGCGTGAGTTGGAATCGAACTGGGGGCGCTCAAGCAGCTTAATGACTATTTGTACAAAGAACATATAAAGAATCGATTGGTTTAACACGTAGGCTTTCGCGACCAATGTTATTCATAATCAACGATTTTTTTGGGTTTAGATCGCGTTTATTTATAAATGTGTCGTAACCCTCCACCACCCGACACGGCCAATCAGTAAAAAATGTGTCACGTTGACAAAGACAAATAGTTCACTGCTTTAGCCCACCGGTGTGTTGAAGCAACAACATTTACAATTTGAGTACGACGTTTCGCTGGTAATTGCAATCAGCATCATCGGGCAATTCGCCGATGATGTTGATTGCAATTACCAGCGAAACGTCGTACTCAAATTGTAAATGTTGTTGCTTCAACACACCGGTGGGCTAAAGCAGTGAACTATTTGTCTTTGTCAACGTGACACATTTTTTACTGATTGGCCGTGTCGGGTGGTGGAGGGTTACGACACATTTATAAATAAACGCGATCTAAACCCAAAAATCGTTGATTATGAAAAAGAATCGATTATAATAAGCAGGCAACAGTCCACATTATAGACTGCCAGTACACGCACTCAGCTTCATAAGCAGGCTAGAGTGTACATGATAGAGTGACAGTACGCTCACCGAGCTTAATAAGCAGGCTACAGTCTACATGATAGACTGGCAGTACGCTGACCCAGCTTAATGACTATTTGTACAGTGAACATTTAAGTAATCGATTGTTGGCGCACACATTGTGGTGGGGGTGGAGTGAAGAGTACGAAAAACTTTGATGAATTTACCTCAGAGTGGCGTGGTGGGTGTCGAGGCCTAGTAGCGTGCAGAGCCTGCGGCCTCGCCAAAATTGGGCACCCGACAGAGGCAGGGTACGGGTGGCGTTCCTTCCCCCCCCCCTCTCAGCGCTCCAACAATACTGTGTAATGGCTATTATTTAATTATTTACGGAGCCTATGAAAGTGGCGAAGGCGTGGCTAGCCATTGGCAGGGGCAACCGCCGTCCAATGAAAGTGCAGCCCTTGGCGAAGGCGTCGCTAGCCGTTGCCAGGTCCAATGAAAGCGGCGAAGGCGTCGCTAGCCGTTGGCAGGGGCAACCGGCGTCCAATGAAAGTGCGTATGGTCCGGAGACACACAGACACACAGACAGACAGATAGACAGACAGATTCGCGATTTTATATATATAGATATGACAGCTTTTCTTCAACCATTTTCTTACGCGTACCCACTTTCAAAGATATAATTTCACCGCTTGTGTATACATTTAACAACACAAATTGTAGAACAAAAAGATGACGCAATTTTTTTTGCTGAATTCATATTTTGAAACGCTCTACCTGCTGAATAAACTGTACAGGAACGGTATGAGACATTCTGAAGTGCCCTGTGTCATTGTATTGATTGTATCAATTATATTGCAGTAATTGGGCTGCATAACGAGAATATAATTTCCTATTTTCTACGTATTCATATATATACATTACCATTTTTTGTTGTTTTTGAATCAAGATGTTTTTTTGAGTGAGCTAATAAGCAGATGCACGTGGGGTGGTGTAAACTGTGGGCACTGCCAACAAGTCTGGGAAAGTGTGAGGAGAAGTCCCCACACAGATCCTCTCTCTCGAGGGGCTGGTCCCCAGCGCCCTCTGCTGGAGGTCTTTCTGCCAGCAGTGTCGTGAGCAAGAAACTGCGGGGGCTTCACCTTTGCCACAACACCTTATGCATCTATTTGATATTTTACTTTTCACCTAATATTTTCCCTCTATCATTTTTGAAGATTCGGCTAAAAACATTGCCCGCACACAAAACAAAGCACTGCGTGTACATTCTTTGCGTGGGCGGGAAGGATCCAGCCTCCCCGTGCCTCTCCACTATTTGAAAGGTTGGAAAATGATGGAAATGGACACGTGGACGGCTGAGGCATACATCCCGAGCATCCCGCCTACTGCGCACAGTGAGACAACGCACGGATAGCAGTGCCCCATTACACCTACGCCGCTGTATTTTAAAATAGCCCTGCCATCACTCATCATCACCAATTCACACAGCCGCCGCTCGCAGCCGCATACAAAGCAGGCTGCGCTGAAACGAGAAAAGGTTACGCGGATTTGAGTCCCATTCTTCGGCAGACAAAGCAGTGTTGCTTTGCCCGGTATCTGTAGGAAAAGGTGGGCCCTACACCTGCACAGGACTTACACAGAGAGAGTGGCACTGCTTACATTTACAACGAGCCGTCTTTGTAGTAGTTCTCCCAAACGCGGCTTTTAGCTGAAGGTAATCTTGGTCACAAAAAGTTCAGGATTTCCCAAACTTCAATCCTCGGGACCCGCCACGGTACGACTCTTCGCCGCTTGATCTTTCGTTGAACTACTAAAGCAAGGCTTCAAATTCGATCAACAAAAAAACCTCGGTTTTTCAAGAGCCGCAAAGCACGTGGTGAGTCCGAGACGGTGGGGTCCTTGATAAGTGACGTCACAAAGCAGGCATTAAAGAGCCGCGGGGTGCCGACCCCTGAACTGGAACCTCGTTACTCGCCACACGCGCCCGATGATTGCGAAACATGCCCCCCCCCCCCCCGCGGTGTAGAAAATTCCAACGCGAATTAAAGCGGAGACCCAAATTCGCTTCGCGCTCATGGCCAACACCAGTGACGATTATCTGAACCAGTCCTGGGCCTC